AAAAAAAAAAAGCATTACTTTGCCCGAGCACAAAAATGGTGAATATGTGAGTTTTTTTTTTGAACCAACTTATGCCACTTATGGTATCTGGACTCCCTCTAGTGGTTCGAATCGCTACCCAAGTACAGTTCAGTTGTATTTCACTTTTTCGTACAATTTGCTGATATTTAAGCACCGTGTTCATTTTCTAACTGTGTATCATTTTAGCGTGAGTTACAATAGGATTACCTTCATGAACACTTGCCTTACTATGCGACAGTATTTTTCCATTGGTCAGAACGGTAATATTTGGATCACTCAGTATTTTTTTGTTTTGTTTTTTTTTTTTTTTAGGCGGCATTTGGTCTTAAAGGTTTGCGGACGACTGCCTGATGGAAAACGTGCGGCGGCTCCGTAAAGGTTGGGAAACACTGAGCTCTAGGACACTATGTTGCGCTGAGCAAGCCTACCTGTTGTGTCTCCCGCTGATCAAAATGAACGCCATCTGTGCGTTTTGTTCACTTGGATGTCAATAATCAAACATGATTTAATTTATCCGCCTCGGGGGGGTTTTCATAGTACCGAACGCAGCCCATATTGAGCAGGAGAAAGTTCACTTGTGTTCTTAAAGGCAGTGTTTGACCTCCACTGTGTTTGTAAACACACACACACCCACACTCACACACACAGGCACACACAAAGATCAAATGCTTCCACGTCAATGTTTGGACTAATGACGCTTCTCTCCATCTGGCCCTTCCCGCCTCTCGCTTCCTTACGCCGCTCTTTTCATGTCGGCCTCCGGGCTCCCAGGGGCTTGTTGCGGGCCACAGAGCTGCAGCTGAAGCTCCGCCAATCTGCACCGCAGCTCCTCCTTCCTGGAGATCTGAGAAGGAGACGGCGAGAAATTGGCTGTAAAGCAAGCCGGCGCGTCCACAGGTTGTTAGTCGGCGCAGCCGATCTATTCCGCGCGACTTGCTTTTAATATCGCGTCAACAAGCGAAGCCGCGCCCGTCTGGCTGTCTTGAGTTTTATAGTGTCTGAATTAAGGGAAGTGACTTTGCATTAAGTGTCTCTTTGCCGAGTTTGAGGAGCACTCTGTCTATTACTCACAGGATAATGGAGAAAAAAAAAGAGGGGGTTAGCTGACTCGGGTTTGTGTTCAGAGAAGAGCTTCATTAGGTACCCCCGCACGAAATCAAGAATTCTGTTTGAACAAAGGCCACATATTAAAATCGAGGGGTGAGCGCCACTGAAAAAGGGTTTCTAACATTACATGCTGATAAATTAAAATATTGCAGATTCCTCTCCTGACCAATGAGTATCTAGTGCAAATAATGCTTTGAAATTGTGAACAAATATTCAAATTGTCCCAGTATGTCCGCATTAAAATCGCATTCATGTATTAAAATTAATTCAGGTAATGTGTCATTTTCGCCATTTAATTTTTCTGCATTGTTGAATGATGTCATTAGTTTGCCGACATTGTACATCAAGTCTATACAGTGCACACGTCGACACATATTTTCTGGTTGTTTTCCTTTTCCCTTCATTGAGTTGTACAAGGTATCTCGGTCACAGTCGTTGTCATTTTGCTCTGTCACCAAAAGAAAAAGAAGAATATTTGAACAGGCGTGTGGAGACATTTTGTATCCATTGTCTCGCTGCTGTACAGTACGTATTTTGTACGTAGTAAAAACATGACATGTCATATTAATACATTTAAATTATTATGTATGTCCATCCCTCCACTTTCTAATCTGCTAACCCTCGCGAGGGTCGCGGGCTGTAAGTATATGTTTAATTATACCTAATTTAAAACCATGATTCTCTGAAAGACTAGCAATCATTTAAAAATGGTTGACTCATTAAAAGTTATGACATAGCAGTAGTTTCAACAGCAAAGATGAGAAGTTGTGCTTTGTACACTGGGATTTTTGCTCCAATGCCTGGTGCGGAGTCCTCATTAAGCATGATTTGAAACAACACAACATGCAGTGCGGCATCTTTGAAAGCTACCTATTTTGAAATGTTGCAAATAAACAAGCGGCACTAAAGTGTCGGGTGAACGCAGATCGATGACCCTGTAGCAGCCCACAACACAATCGCTTTATCTTCTGACTTCCAATTAGGAACAGCCAGGAAAGTTCACAACGTTGCAGGGGTTCATATTATATACATTTTACAATGGACTTAAAAATTCTACACACTTCTGTTCAAATGCCAGGTTTTTGTGATATCGAAAAAAATGAGACCGAGATAAACAATTCAAAAACTTTTTCTACCATTAATCGTTACTGGGAGAGGAAGTAAAAATAAATCACACAAGTGCGAACACCCTCTTCTAACGCTGGGTGTGGCTGTGTTCGGAATTAACCAATCGCATTTAAACTTTTAAATGCAAGTCATCATACACCATTTAAAGTGCCTCTGCTGATCCCCAAATAAAGTTCAGCTGTTCTTGTTTGCGTTTCCTGACATTTTTTGCAGTCACGTTTTCCAACACAATCTATTGTCCGCGGAGAGCTTCATTGGGGGGGATCTCACTGTTCAAAGTTATCAATCAGGAAGGTAGAAAAGAATCCTCAAGGTGTTACATTTAAAGATGGGACACAGTAGAGTCGGTCATTATCAAGTGGGGAAAATAGGGCACAACGGTGGCATGAGCAAGAATTAGGATTCCCCCCAAAATTGATTAAAAGACCAGAAGAAAACCGGTCAAGGAGGCTGCCAAGAGTTTGAATGTGAATGGTTATTGCTGAACACAGCGACATCCCCAGTTATAAAAGGGTGTGCACACTTGTGCAACCAGTTGTTTATTTCCCCCAGTCCCTCTCGAAAAGATGTTTCCCTCCCAATAGAGTGTACACTTCACATTAATGGCGAAAACGTGTTGAAATGATTTATCCAAGTCTATTTTTATATATCGCAAAAATCTGCCATTTTCACAGTGGTGTGTGGACTTTTTATACGTTGTTGGCGTGCAAGTCTCATCGCTAAAGGCTGTAAATACTTGTGCAAAAGTATATTTTAAATACATTTGCAAGAGTGTAAAATAACGTTCTGAGTGTAAAAATAACGTTCTGAGTACAATAAATGAAGCCAAATTTTAAAACAAGCCTTGAACGTAACGTGGAAAAAGTGATGCACCGTGAATACATGTATTTGCATTCGTCGTCATTATTTGAAACAGAATCGCTATTTCGTACATTGATGTGTTTTGTTCAAGCTTTACTGATGTTAACATGATGTCCTCGACGCAACCAGAAAATGAACAATAAGCGTCTTCGTATACCTTGAATCTTTCCTCAGGGTTGAGATCGATTTTTATTTCCAGATTCTCAATCTGCCTCAACTTCTTCTGCAGCTTCCTCACCTCCCCCATTTGGCCCTCAAACCCCCTCTGCTTGGATGACTAACACACGGACTCTCAAAGTGGAAGCTATCGTTAAGGGGGGAAAGGGAGAAAACGCGTAGGTTTATCATTAAAACGGCGCTAAACCGATTTGAATGGCGATCTGGGAATGAAGACTTTGGGCAAACGTGTCGCCGGATGTTGATGCGGAAGACGCGTCGATCTGCTCCCACAGCTACACCACGTGGACAGTTTTGGAAAGACGTGGCGGCCACCTGTCGCCCGCTCCATTCTTTAATCTAACATACCGCGCATATTTACGTTACATTAAGAGGCCTTTTATAGTTTGTTGCGTTCGTTTACCCCTTCCCCTTATAAAATTCGTACAAAATGTATTCATTTTTTGAGCTAATTTATTTAATAATTGGTGTATATGTTTATTGTGTTCAATAAACTTTATTGATATAACACTTTAAAAACAACTTGAGCAGCATACAAAGTTTTGTTCATAAAGTAAAAATCAAACATGTAAAACAAAGACGGTTAAAGCAATAAATTAATAACATAAAACAGTAAACACGAAACACTAAAACAATCCATAATCTCATGCCAAATTTATATAAAATTGTAAATGTATAATAAAATAATGTCCATATTCTAAAATAAAATTGCACACATTCTTTTTTTTTTAAATTATTACATGAAAAAAATGACAAAAATAGCTTCGTACTATTTCAAGTTTAGATGTATAGATAAAAAATACATAAAGGATATGGATTCAGGTTAAATGTAGAATTATTTATGTACGTAATCAATAATAAAAAAAGACTCGGCGTTTTTCCGTAACGAGTCATTGTTTCAACAACAGTACCTGAAGGTAACACTACTGGTTCCAAAGCCGAAATAGTAACGTGGCAAGTGTCAAAAATGTACATTTTATAAATTTAAAAAACTTCAACGAGTGCCACAAGGTAAATGGGAAAGAATCTTTAAATTATTTGCAATTGTACCTATTTATTTTCATTAAAAAAGCGGTGCTGTTGCAGGACGTGACGTAATCGTGTTCACCTCCTTTTGTCTGACGAGCTCATCCGGAGGAAGTGAAGCGCCATCCGAGGCGGCCACCATCCGAGGAAGAAAAAAAATCTTGGAAAAAAAAAAAAGGAACTTCATCGTTTTTTTGTTTTTTTTTTTTAAAATACACACATGTGGGAATTGTCTCCAATTTGAGGCGGACGAACGATCTTCGGGGGGGGGGGCGGGAGACCGATTGGACGGTGCAATCGGGTAAAGAGCTGCTCTTGATCATGTTGTGCGATTGCTTGCTACATTTGCATGACTCGGCAGGAGGAAGTGTGTGTATGTGCGCCCGCGAGTCCGTGTGGACGCGCTTGTTTTTTTTCCTCTTTTTTTTTTAATCATCCGTTTCTTTTATTTTTTGCTCTTTATTTGTTGCTCGCACGTTGACACCCGCGCTATTGCTCGTTGCTAACATGCTAACCCGAACACGTCGGGCCCGATTAGATAACCTAAATTTAAACGCTACTTTTGTGTATGGTCCTTAATACACTGCTGTCATTTCTAGAATATTATTGGAATTTTGAGCGAATAGCCTTTTAAAACTAACGTAGTTCAATGTAAAAGCACTTACATTTACGGACACTTAGGGCCACACGTTGCTAATAGGCTAAAAATAATCTCCATTCTGAACGTTTGACTGGTTTGACATTACTGACTGTGGCTATTCGGTATACCGCACGAGTTAAAATATTTTCATGCTCCGTGTGTCATTGATAAACGACGCACAATTGGGCTTTTAAAACATGATCAAAACAAAAATTGTTTCATAGGCTGATGATAAACGTTGAATTGTGCTTTGTTTTTAACTGGACTTTTACTGTCTTAAAACTGTGTCCCATACTTCCTCCTTTTTTTTTTTTTTTTTGTTTGTTCCTTAACCCTTTTGTGACTATGTGCCTTTTATCTTTTGGTGTGCTGTACAGAAGTCTCACTGTTGTCCACTGGGTGACAAATGACAATAGCGTTGCAGGGCCGATTTTTAGATCGGAGGTTTAAGGGGCGGGAGTTCCCGGCCAGGCAAGATAAATAATTTCCTTCCCAGTTTTATGAAAATGCTCTGACTCAGATGTGCAATCCAATAAAGGCTGTTTGAATGCTGAGCCACAGCAAAGAGGAATGGATTGATGTATACAGTATAACAAAAATATTTTGGCCCTACTAAATTATGGGGAATGACATCTCAGTTGGATTTACATACTTATTACAATGTGCATTTTTTAATGCGATTCTCAACATGTACAGCACAATAGAAGGTTTGTGACTATGATAGTTTGAACACTGATATGTATAAGTAAAGCTCGGGGAAGTGTAACTGGAGCTCTGCACTAGAACTGCGCAGTAACAAAAAGCTCCATACCGCCGATCCATTGAGAGGGATAAATCATTACGCATACTAACTTGAGGTTGTTGAGCATCCTACTTTTGCTCTCGCAGCCTTTAAACCAATCGTACTGGGTGTCGGAGCAGTGTGAGGGAAATTGAGGTTCTCAAACTGGTGGTGAACTGCAGTCAGGGACAGAAAACTTTTGTCATTTGGTGAGCCACGGGCAAGGTAGCTTACAAAAGCTGTCAAATGCTGATGGCCTGACCTACAGTATGTCAGAGTGATACCTGAAACCAAACAGACTAAATGAAGTGTCAAGTGACTTTTGGAACACACTGTATAATGGTACCACGAAATCTTGTTTATGTCACAGTAGATGTGTCTCAATAATACAAATCATCCACCATTTGTGTCACATCACATCATTATTTCTCCAGTGTGATATGTCACAATTTGGACATTTCAACCTGACGAAATTGTTGTTGTCTTACTTGCAGGAATAATGGAAGATTCTCATTTTAACTCATCCTATTTCTGGTCTCCCATCCCCACTGTGCCTGGACAGGTAGGACACATTCATTTGACTTATGCCCAAGCTCAGAAACCATTTAAACCGGACCAAACCGGAGATGTTTTGTAAAGAAGTGGTCAAGTGTAATTTTTCTGTTGGGGCGCCCAACTTGATGCGCCTGCCTACTTTTGTTGAAGAAATTAGGAGCAAATCCTATGGACTTCTTTTCACTTCTCAAATATCACTGTTTGTCTGCTAGATTGTATATTCAACTGACAAAAACCTTAGCAGGAATAGCAATGTAAAATAGTTGGCCAAATTCAACAACTCTTGAATATTTGACTAAAAATAATTTGGATAATAATCTCTATACTTTTATCGGGATGGAGAGAGAGAGACGATTCAGGATGCTATCGAGGTGTTTTGCCATGCTGGGTGTGTTTTCTTTCAGCATTGCGATGGCAGTTGTTCAAAGGATTTAAAAAAAAAATTATTTGGTCGGAGAAGCTCTGTATCACCTCCCCGACCGACTTCAGAAGCGCAAACTGACAGGACCGAGAATGAGACCTGTCTGCCAGGAGTCTCCGCACTTTCTGCCAGTGTAAATGTGGCCCGGAGGCTTCAGAGCTTTTCCCACAATTTTACCCGCAACTTTCCCAAGTCTGTTTTGCTTGACCTTACACTTGGCATTCAAGTAACCAAACCAAGCACATAGATGACATGTTCAGGCCTGGCCACAAATAATGATTTATTTTCCAAATCTTCAAAAGTTTTTTTTTTTGTTTTTTTTTTTAGCTGTGTGTGTCATACCCCACCCATTTTTTACAGACGTAAATATGATCCCGCATGTTGGTTCATTTTATCCTCTTATATCACCAGAGTAGTGAGGTGGGAGGAGGTAGAAATATTTTGGGGAAATGAGACTGCTCGACTAAAGATGACGTGGTGGCGCTCAATGAATGAAGTGTCTGCGTGGCTGAATTAGGACTCTCACCACGAATGTCCACCGTATGCTTCATGTTTCAAGCGGTGTTAAAGTCAACACCGTTAGACAAAACTATGCAGATTCACGGACGATGATCAGTAGACTCCCTCCACTTTCTCTTGCCTGCGTGGAGTGCCAATTTGGCAGGTCGGATGTGTGCAGACGCATACATACCTGACTTAAACCCGCATACGAAAGACGCTCAGGTCGGATTTGAAAAAGGTCCAATCCATGTCGCATATGGGCAAAAAAAAAAAATTGTAATTGCTCTGCAGTGTGACCATAGTCATAGTCGTCAGGTGTTTGTGGTTATTGGTCAGGAAGGCGCAAAATGGGGACAAAAACAGCCCGGTTGTCTTCATGCGTAACCTGACCTAAGAATTGCCGTAACGTTGCTGTGTGACGCCTTGCGCGCAGCTGGAGAATGCCGTCTTCCTGAACAAAGTGAAAGAACAGCAGGAAAAGAGCGCCTCCTTCCCGCCTTCCTCGGCGTCGCACTACCAAACGACGCTGCTCACCATCCCCACGCCGGGAGGCAAGACAGATGGCGGCGGGCAACCCGCCGGCACCTCCCACCTGCACCCGCCGCACAGCAGCCAGAACATCACCGTGCTGCCCGTCCCCTCCACGGGCATCATGACGGCAGGTGAGTCGCTTTTCCCTGCCCCGCACTTTGATTTGGACTCTGAATTGGCAACAGCCAAAACAACATTGTAGCTGTCATAGCTTACCGTCAGCGCCATGAAGGGCCTCTGCATTAACTGAACGCAAAGAGACTTCCACATGAGCAAAATGAGCGCTTTCCATTATTATTGCTACTTCTCACTTTCTGACCTTCTTCATCCAAAGCGTCCACAGTGAGCAACGTTGTTTTTTTTTTTCTTGTCTTTTTGCGCACGCGCGCTGTGCAGCGGGACTGGTCATCACGACTCCCCAAGGAACCTTGGTGTCTCCCACGTCCTCGCAGTCCTTTGTGTCCACGCACCCGACCACCACCATGATTGTCTCCGCCGTTCATTCTCAAGGTAAAACACACCACAAAATGTGTTTATCGCTCAAGCGGTGCTTCTCAGTGACTTTGGCCAACAGCAAAGTTGAGCCAGAGATGTCTTTATGTGTTGCTAATCATCTCTTTCAAGTGGATTAAAAAAAAACATATATATAATTGAAGCATGTCAGGTTTTTGAGAGTTTGACCTTTAAAATACAATTTTGTTCCAATCTTTCAAAGACAAAAAAGAAGACGGTACGCCCCACGTAGTGGTGATGCCAGCGCCGTCCAAGCGAGGCCGCAAGAAGAAGAGCATGGTGGGAGCGGGCAACGAAACCGTCATACTGGCTCAGCTCAGCGCTGGCGGACAGGTGAGATACCGATTGTAATGCCATAAAACAACAAATAAAAAATCAACTACTCGTGCAAAGAAATCCGGACATTTCTATTGTAATCATTTTTGTGTCACTTTTTGTCATTAAAAATGACAGTTTTATTTTTCCCACTGCTGTTTTCCTCTTTTTAGACTTACGCGACAGTACAAAGGGGCACGAGGAATAGAAAGAAATAACACTCTTGAGGATTCCAAAATGCAATGTCGTCATTTTAGGAGAGAAAAAAATGCAACTTTTTGAGTACCGGTAATGTGACTTTTTTTGGGGGGGGGTTCCCATGCCCCCCACTGACTGAAAGTATAGTGCTGTGGTACAAAAGGTCACACTCAAATAAAAAAAGGCCTAATATCTTGAACATCTCTGAAAATATAAATAGATTTTTTTTTTTTTTTTTTTTGCTGGTGGTGGTGAGTCCGGGCTTCCATATTACATATGGACATTATGCGTCAAACAACAAAGCGTATGAGGGAAAAGTGGTTAAGATTGCACGACTGTCCGTGTTTTCATGTTATGTGTTGTGTTTATCATTTTACTTTGTGTTAACTGCTTTGTTACAGCTGCAGCTGTTGTGAAAGCGCTACATGAATCAGGGCGTATTGTATTCTATATGCTCACACTCAAATGCAACCGAAATGCTCAACTGAAAATCCGAATCATTTAAAAAGAAGTCTCGTTACAAAACCTCACTATATCACAACTTTTCAAAGTCAAGCCTGTCAACAGCGGTTTGATGCTATCTATCTATTTATTTGTTTATTTTCTGGGCAGGTGACCTCTTTGCATCATCACACGCGGGATCCGTATGACGTGTCCAATGAGGACGACGAGCCCGGGCTGAAGGACAGCACGAAAACCTACAGGTACGTGGCTCCCGCGCGCATCCCGGCGTTCTTTGCGTGACTTGCGGGATGCAAGCGCGCCTTCAGTCGAGCCACTGGAGGCGTCACTTTGCTCGCATGTGGAACCGCAACCAACGCGCCTGCTTCGCTTCGCTTCTTGTGTCTGACACACACAAGTCCATGGAAAACTCTGCCATTTGTGCCCGCCCTCTACCACACGGCATGCGCATTGACTTTTTACAGTACGGACGTGCCTTTTCCCCTCTTCTGCTTTCACTGATATCTTCCTCGACATCTTTCCTTGTGTCTCATTTGATCACCCTTCGATTTGTGTCTGTGGTTCATCATCCTGCCCTTTCCTTTGCTTCGCTGTCTCGTCGTTTGTCTTGCCCCCGATCACCCTACCCCTGCCCCCCTCCCCGCCCACTTTCCCCCCCATTTCTGTGTCTCTCCCGCCTGTAGGTGCCGGATGTGCGCGGCGACCTTCTTCAGTAAGTCTGACATGCAGATCCACTCCAAGTCGCACACAGAGGCCAAACCTCACAAGTGTCCGCACTGCGCCAAGTCGTTCGCCAACTCCAGCTACCTGGCGCAGCACATCCGCATCCACAGCGGGGCCAAGCCTTACACCTGCTCCTACTGCCAGAAATCATTCAGGCAGCTCAGTCACTTACAGCAGCACTCACGGTACTGCAGACACCCCTCTCATGCCCTCCGCCCGCCTTCGAGCCCCTCACCTAAGTCCACGCTTGCTCCCCCTCTGTACCGTGGTATGCATATCGCGCATATCACCGGGCCATTTGAATGTCGGCTTGCATGGTGGAGACCCTCCCTCCAAAAGCTCCCAGACATCTTTTTCTGTTCAAGAAAGGCGGCCAGTCGGGCTGGGTTCGGAATCGCGCCCTCTTCGCTTTTGCCGTTTTGTAGTTCATTAGAAGTCGCCCGTGTTTTTGTTGTGTGAACGAGGACAAATCAACAAGCAACAAATCTGAATTGGGCCTCTTGCGACGTGAGCGTATTTTAACACTCCCAAATATGACTTAAAATGCGATTCAGTTAAAATGTAGTGTATTTGTAGAGTGCAGTTAATGCGCAAGGCAGTTTGGTGTGCTTTGCAGCTCCATAAAATTACCAGAACACCGATCAAATAATTCCATAAACTTGAAATGAAAACCCTGGAGTGGAGCTACTATGTTTTCGTATGCTCTCCGGCTGGATTTGAACATTGCAGACTTGAGGCTGGAGCACTGTCCCGTACTTTTAGCAGCATGAAAACGTCAACGCAGCCTTACGGTCTTTAGTCCTAACTCGGGACACCAGCACGAAGACGTTCGCAGAGGCCGAGAGGGTTCATACGTGGCGCAAAAAAAATTACACTTGAAAGCTGCAAAACAACGCGCTCTTCAAAATTAGATGCCAATACGTCAAAGTTAAATACCACTGAGCTGTACTCAAAAACATATGGTACTTAAATATACAAATGTGCTGTAGCCCCCCCCCCCCCCAAAAAAAAATGTTTGCTCTAAAATAAATGAGTGCCCCTCATTGTATCCCACAATGCATTTTGTAAAATAGCAAACACCCGATGGTCACTTGTGCATCAGCAAGGATGGATATTAATCACTATTGTTTCTATTTTTGGGGGAAACCATTATTTTCTGTTTTACTCATGAGTGAACCAGCATGTTTAAAAAAAAAAAATTACATAGTGTGTAGGGAATGAATAAATGAATAATTCGGAGCACAGCCTCAGGTTTCTCTAAATTGGGGATGAGCGGTACGACGACTTCATGAAAAACAGAGTGCAATACACTTTAATTCTTTTTTAAAAATCTTACTTGACACATTTCCTCAAATAATGGCCCGTCCCAATTAAATGGCTGTTGTCATCCACTTATAAACGCCTTCCTTCTGCGTCGTGCGAATGTTCATTTTGCCGAAATAACCAGAATTTAATTGGTGGCTTGAAAACGAACAGCACGACAAGGTTGCCAGGGAAGTTCATGTTTGATTGCTGCTCACAATCCGTCACACTTTCCTTTGTATAATTAGACGTTGGATTTGCTGCCACCTAAAATGATCCGAACACGTAAATTGTTTCATCCACCGCTCCCGCCCTCCCCTTACCTTTTCCTTACCTTTCGTGAAGAAAGTGTTGTCACATGGCCATTGCTGCTCCAAACTGCCAATTGGTCCCAGCAATCTCATTTCCAATTGCTCTTGAATCACCTAACGGATGTCATTGTCAACACTTTGCTCTCCTTTTTCCATTGACGTGCCCTCTCATTTGTCTCTGCCTGACCGCATGCTCTTGCCTCTTCTCTGTCTGCGCTTTCCCCTGCACAATTACTTTCACCTTTTAAACCATGAATGTCTTTGTTGAATAATGTCCCACCATTAATACTCGTTGTCTGTGTGAAATAACCATGTGCTGCCCTGCTCTGCTTTTTTTTTTTTTTTTTGGTGCTGCTCGTTCATCCTCCCATTGCCAGCAAGCGTTTGCATACAGTCGGTGTTTGCACAAGCCCAATCATGCATGCGCATTCTTGACATGTGCTTTGTGAAGCTGTGTACACACATGGGTGGCGTGTGCACACACGAGACCCCCTCCCACACCCCCACCCACCATTCGCATGTGAGTCATGCGACTCCAAATTCCAATTTGAATAACTTTGCTGCTTCGCTGTGTGCATGTTTGCCATTCTTGTTGCTTTTGTATTTGTTGTCAGCACAGATTTGAATTATGATTACCTTAAATAGTGGCTGTGGGGCGATGGCCGCTTAATTTTTTTTTTGTCCATAATATGAAACAGTATGAATGGTCTGTTGTAATTTGCATCAAGTGAAGCTGGAGTTAAACTCACGTTTAACGTGGCATAAAAATAGTGAGTAGTGGTGCGGTTTTTAAAAGAATTCGGCGACTGGGGAATTTGCGCATGTGCTGGGGGAACACCGTGCTGCGGAGTTCCTTTTCGATGTGCGGTAACTTGCCATATTTGAGTTCACAGCTACTTTAGGAGATTCATCCGTTTTGGTGTTCACCAAAAGTAATAACAATAACAATAATGTCTGTGAATGGATGTAATTACACTTTCTTACTAGGTGTCAATTTGGGGAGGAGGGGGGCGTGAGAGGGAAGGTAACTATTTGAGGAAATGCATTTTTTTCCCCCCAAATCAGTTTTTTTGTTTGTTTAATATGGAGTCTTTGTACAAAATTGGATTTCATCTCCAGTAAGTCTTTTAAAAGTGCCTTTTATTTTTCAGAAATGACCATATTAAAAAATGCAGAAGCAGCAAAATTTATTAATACAAATTTGTCGCAACAGCCACCCCCAACCCCGTCCCCCCGCTGTTGTGTTCATCGCTTGGTAATGTGCTGACAATTTTAGACCACATGTTGTGGAATTTGACCTCTAAAAATAGCTGTGGTGCCCCCCCCCCCCTCTACTGGTCAGCAACCACACGGAGTCGAAGCCTCACAAGTGTCCCCATTGCACCAAGTCATTCGCCAACTCCAGCTACCTGGCCCAGCACCTCCGCATCCACACGGGCGTGAAGCCATACACCTGCTCCTATTGCCAGAAATCATTCAGGCAGCTCAGTCACCTACAGCAGCACAACAGGTAAAAACGCTGGAGTTTGGCGAGTGGGGGGTGGGGGGGGTGGTGCTCTTTGGCTCTGTGCACTCACTCAATAATCGTGCTTTTAAATCAGGATTCATACCGGAGATCGGCCGTACAAGTGTACGCATGCTGGATGTGAGAAATCCTTCACGCAGCTCTCCAATTTACAGGTGAGGGGCGGCGGGGGGCTTTCCTTCATTATTCACTGAAAAATTCACCTCATCGCTGGTTGTTCTCAGGCCAAAGCCCTGACACATAAATGCACCGTGGTGCCTTGACTTCTGTTCGATTTTTATTCATTTTGTTTGGGTTGACTTGTGAGCAAAACTCCACCCAGCACACTTTGCAACAAGCAACAGTTGGGCTAATTGCTCAAAAAATGAGGCTCCGAGCTTCTTGGCAGTTACATTACAGTTGAAGGTTACTGAAGGGACAGGGAATACTGATGTTGATTTTATAAACACAATCTTCCACAGTGTTTTGGTTTTGCAGATAATTTCCGAAAATAATTCTTACTTCATTAGTACATTAATTGCTTTATAACAGGTCATTTTAACTTTGTTGTTGTTTTTTTTTTTTTTTAATTCGGAAAATGAACTTTCTAGCCGCAGAATCAAGATTTGCTCTCCGCAGAATCTGGATTGTTTACCGTGGAATCAGCAGGTTTTCTCCCGGGAACTAGTTAGGCTCAGGAACTCTTACGTTAAAGTGAGAAGACGTAACACTTTTGCTACCATCTTGTGGCATCATTTGTTAATTAGTGTGTGGATTTCATTATTGGCAACGGGGCTCACCCATGCACAAATCAGATTCCCTGTGTTTTTTTTTTCTTTCCTAAATGTGTCGCTTGAATCACGCTGTGCAAATCCAGCTTTAGACATGTTCCAAAACGTCTCACTGTGTTCTTAACCCTCCCCCACCCTCCAACAACCCCCCCGGTCCTAATAAAGTCCCATCGACGTCAGCACAACAAAGACAAACCTTACAAGTGCTCCAACTGCAACAAAGGCTACGTGGACGCCGCCAGCCTGGAAGTGCACATGTCCAAACACACGGTCAGGCATGCCCGGATCTACTCGTGCGGCCTCTGCAACCGCACGTACACCTCAGTAAGACCAATATGCATTTGTGAAGAGAATTCCCAGTGGCCTCAGTGGTGCCACACGCCTGCCAGCTACTTTACACCGTATAGTCACATGTCCACTGTCTCCCCTCTACCCTCACCCCAGGAGACGTATCTTGTGAAACACATGGAGAAACACGGCCAAGAGCAGTTGAACGCTTCGGACGCCGTGGCGGCGCAGCAGAGCCAAAGTCAGGCGGCCCGCGCTCAGTCCGGAGCTCGGGGCCAGGCAGAGGGCTCAGAAGGCACGGCAGGCCGAGCCGGACACGGACACGGCCAAGGCGGCTACGGCCAGCCGGACGCCATGCCCTGTCCCTTTGACCTGCACCAGTACAAGACGGTGTCGGCAGGAGATATCCAGTACAAACCCGTCGGCGTGTCGGACATTCCCTCCCACAAGGACCTATGTCTAACTGTGTCGTCTTCCAGTATCCAAGTGGAGCACCTCAACTCGTAAAAGATGGAGGGGGGAGGAAAAACGCAGAGACATAAAAGCAATACTAAAACGGAATGGGGAACTTTTGGAACTGTGCCTGGGAATGTTTTTTTTTTTTTTTTTCACCAACAGGACAAGCAATGTGGGTTTTATTTTACTCCAAGTGTCCTCATGGAGGGAAATGTGTGTGAAAGGCTGCCGTGAAAAGATTTACAGTCCATCACAGTGATGGTTTAAAAATGGAGAAGAAAAGGAAGCGAGAGAGTGCCTGTCTTTCGTGTCGTTTTATCACCTTCTGCTCTTCTGTACAAATGCAGCACGCGGGTCATAACCATGTTATGCTCTGGAGAGTATTTGGAATGACTTTTTACATCAGTGTTATTAACTTTTACTGCGTGGCATACTTTAATGTTAAAGGGACAGAGGTTATTTCCTTGTCAGGAAAGTCAAAAATAACAATCATGTATTTGTAGATACATTGTATACTACCAGCTGATAACGTGTGACGTGTGTATGTATATATAAATAATGGATACCTAAATGCAGGCTCTCGCGGTGTAATCCCATCATTCTGCTTTTTGTGTGTGTCTTATCAGTGTCTAGCTTTGAAATACATTCAGAATAATGTTTGTTATACGCAGTTATGGACGCACTTGCACATCTGACTTTTTTTTTTTTTTTAAATAATGAACAATAAAAAAATGTTTGGAACATTTATCACTGGTTTGTTTATGGACATTCATCATATTCAGTTGCATAACATGCAAATAAGAAATTACATGTTTGAAATTGACTTCGATTTAAAAAAAATATATTGGAAAAAAGAACTCAAGGAATTAGTTAACTGTAATTGTCTGTGTAAATAATGATCAATAAAAGTTTTGGAACCTTTATCCCTGGTTTGTTTATGCACATTCAGTGACACCATATGCAAAAACTAAAAAAAATGTCTGAAATGTGCTTCAACCAATTCCGAAAAATACTATGAATGAAAATCTAAAATTAGATTAATGATCAAAAATGTAACCGTCTGACATTAAAAAAGAACATGGACCCTTAACACATGAACTTGCATAATATGGAAAAAAAAATTGTATTTAACTGGTTCCTAAAATGTGAATGTTTTCTAACATTACATTTAGGTAAAGATGTAACAGGAAAATATATATACATGTGTAATTCAATAAAATAAAACTACAGCGTTTATGAAGTTGTCAGAATTCTCAACCCCGCTTTCGTCACACACGTCAAATAATCGTAGTCGCGTTCGCCGGAATGGACAAAGGTGACAAACACGCTTTTTACACAAACCCACGTCGACGCTCGGATAGTCATAACTGTCAAATTGAGATGCCGTGCCTCTTTTGTTTCTATCTGTTGGTCCAAACCACAGAAAGTAATTTATCGTTAAGCAAAAAAAAAAAAAAAATTCCCCAGCGTCTGACGCTGAATTACGAAGTGTTTACAAAGTGGACAAAACTAACAGACCTCATTGTCTGGGGGAGCACAATCGGTCACGGTTAGCATTTCAGTCACATTTCGTCGTTGAAATTTTAAAAGGCTGGTGTCAGTGAATTAATATGTTATGTGGTAATAATTTTTTGTTAATATAATCAACATCAAAGCTAAATTATTTGGATCCCATCTCGCTCGGTTTGTGAACATCGCGATGGTTTCGCCCGACATTCTCCGCAGTCTGCAGTGAAACATGGCGTCACTGAAAAGTGGCCAGAGTCGAAAAACTTCGCCGCTGTAAAACATCGCCAGATACTCGGGGACGTAACGACGACATTTACAAACAAAACTCGTGCCCACTATCCGTCGGAGACATGCCCCGGAAAAAGCCATTTAGTAACAAGCAAAAGAAGAAGCAGCTGCAAGTCAAACGGGAAAGAAAGCGAGGTAAAAAAAAAAAAAAACTGGCATGAAGCGTTACCCTTTTAGCATTAGCTCTTAGCCAATTAAAGTTTCTGGAAATGCTACTCGCTGTTATCGTCATTGTGGTGGCACGTTACGCCAAGCTAATTATTAGCTTGTTTATAGGACATTGTTGTCATTGCAAGCGGTACGATAATCTACTAACCGAGAGAATTAGTGGTTTTAACTTGCTTCACAATTGATATCAAGTGTGGAGAAGCGATACTAATTGTATGCATATATGACAGTGTTTGTATTATTCATTTCGATCAATATCTGCCTCTCGTTATTGCATACTTTTTTCTTTTTTTTCCTCGTTATTGCATACTGTGACACTTTGTTTCGCACATTTACGTCATTGTGCAATAGAATTATCTTTTATCCATCCTGGCAACGGGTTCATACACCGTACCTATTGGGTGTTTGTAATTCATTAATATCTAATAATACATTACTGTCAATAATGCACTTCGTACCAGCTTTCCGGGGATTGAATGTAATTTGACATGCTGGCTAAAACATTACTATCTACAATAATTTTCTTTCAAGTACAGTGGTGCCTTGACATACAAGCGACCCGATTTGAGTTTTCCGAGACATTTTTTTTTCATTTGCCTTGCATTACAAGCAACAATTTGAGATAGGAGCCCTGTATAGTGGAAGTGAACTCAACTCATCTCACCTCGCATAATTAGCAGCCGTTCGAAGTTTGGTTCAACTCTGCACCCAGACGACGTTTTTGTTTTTTCCAAACAAAACAAAGAGAAATACATGTTGTGCATTTAAAAACTTTTAAGCTTTGGAGTCTGCTAGCTTAATGCTAACACATATTTGGAGACGACATTGATGGAAGATAGATTAAATGTGGCATTTTATAAAGCTCTCAGCGATGCAAGTAGTCATGGTTGTGTTAGGATAGTTTAGTTCAAATAATAAAAGATTGAGACAATTTGGAAGAACTCTTTTTATTTTTTCATCCCCTTAACACATGGTTGATTTATCGTGACTCTATTGGCACATCCTCAAAATCAGGTGACTCAGACTTGCGTGCAAAAAAAAAAAATAAAAAAGTGATTGGGACATCCCCAGTAGTGACTGAATGACTGGTTTGCCCTCCTAGGTGACACAGGCTCAGGACCAAGTAGCCGGAATGCCAGCATGGAGCGTGGGGGAGATCGGCAGTCGGACACGTCAGACAGCGAGACCACCGACATCCTGAGGATAAATCAGCAGCCGTCAGGCCGAGAGGGCAGACATGATCCCAATAGGTGACTTTGCCCGTGCACTTAAGCTTGCATCCCTTTCCCATAGCAACACATAAACAGGAAAACATTTGTAAACACATGAACATGACTTGACATGTTAGTCTTCAGGAGACATACAAAATCCAAACAGGAAGGCCAGAGCAGAGGTTTGAACCCCGAACCTCAGGCACTTGAACAAATAAGCGCCACACCTCAAATCGATACCTCCTTTCACCCAACAGGATCAAAAATAGCTGGTGTTTATAATTTTTGTTTGCCATCAAAACAACCATGTGGACATTGTAGACAATGTGATAAATGGCACGCTTCAACTAAATGCCTCTTCTTTCCCCCCTCAGAAACAAAAATATGTAATGGCTATCATTTGTGATCAAGTCAAACGTGTGTCACAATAGACAACGTGGTAGATGCCACGCCCAATTCATTGCCAGGTTTGCTGTCCACTTCAACAAATAAGTGCTAAACCTCAAATAGATGTTTAGAAAAAAGAACAGATGGCTTCTTTACTTTAACTGAGACCCAGCAGTAGACTCAACCACGGCACACCCTGCCTGCGGAGCAAGCGTGGCATCTGTAAAGCTGAAATTTCCTGTGAAGTTAAATGCTTGTGATTCCTCTCGGGAGGTTTCGTCTTCACTTTGAAAAGGAGAGCAAAGAGGAAGTGGAGAAGCGGAAGAAAATGGCCCGGGAGAAGATCCTGCTGCCCATCTCGGACAAACAACTGGAAATCGGCATCGAGGACATCTACCCGCCACAGAGAGGTGTCTCTCTCTTTTTTTTTTTTTTATGTTCTCCACATGATGTTTCTCAAAATAGAAGTGTGCTTAATGGATGCACACTTGTCTTTGTGAAACTCGATTATTCCAGGCCTGGGTTTCCCACGACGGCCGCCCTGGAACTACGAGATGAGCCGAGCTGACTTGTTGAGGAAAGAGGAGAAGTCGTACAGGCAGTACCTGGATGACTTGCATTCCAGGAACCCGCCCGGATCCCTCAGCCATTTTGAGCACAACCTGGAGGTAAAACAATGAGCCCAAATGTCTTTGCAAGCATCTCACTGAGAATCACAATGATCACTTCGTTGATTTTCAGTTGCGTTCTAAAAGAGCGGGGCTCCCCAAGTCACCTGTCCTTGGCCCTTGCCATTTGGTACTAGGCCACACAGAGAGTGCGGGATAAAATAGCGGAGCATATAAAGCGAGCAAACCAGCCTTTTTATTTTCACTTCTCCGAGATTTTGTAAACTCTTACCGGGGAAGACGCCATGATGGAGTGGAAAACAATTTTGATATTAAACGTTTTGACTTGAAAAGTGGTGAGATTGTCTATTATGTCCGCCCGTGGGATAGACGCTGTCATATTGCAGACAGCTAGGAGAGCAGTCGGTACATGAATAAAAGGTGGACCTGCCGTATTTATTCCCTTTGACAGAACCCTTGACTTTTTTTTTTTTTTTTTGTCTTTACTCTTGCTGGCTGAGATGAATGTAATCCCAGAAGGTACCACTAGCTGGCAGTAGTTTCCTCCGAAATAAACCATCCAGATTGTAAGCAAGGAATAATGTTAAAGATGAGTTGAACTGTCAAGTCTCTTCATCTTTTCTTTCCTCTTTTCTGTTTCTCTCAGACATGGAGGCAGCTGTGGCGAGTGTTAGAGATGTCAGATGTCGTCCTGCTCATCGTGGACATCCGGCACCCAGTAGGTGGCCCGATGTAACAAAAGTAACAACGCATTTGCGAGGGCACTTTGGCTGCGGTATGGCGTTCGCATGAGCCAGACGATGTTTGCGCACACGCCTGATCCTAATTTACGTCAGACCCTTCTGCACACTATGATGCAAGAAAAAAAAACCAAGGAAATTACATATTTGGGTCGCGAGCCGTAGCGGGTTTTCAAGATGTATTTATACGTCTTGGGAATTGAACGAGATAATACCAGACACATCAGAACCACAACTATATGTATGCAAGCAATTTAAAAGTCAGTAATTTTTTTTTCCCCCTTTATAGGCAGAATTTTTGACACAGCGCGCTCATGCAGGTGTTACCTTATCACGTGGCCCGTGTATGTTTTTGTGTGCCCGGGATTTTTCTTCTCACTCGAGTTTCAAGTGTCATTTTAGCGCATGTAATTAGTGAGCATTAATTACGGCATCATGTGCCTCCCAGGTGCTGCAGTTCCCCCCCGAGGTGTACCGCTACATCACCGGCGAGCTGAAGAAGCACATGGTGCTGGTGCTGAACAAAGTGGACCTTTGTCCGCCGGCTCTGGTGATCGCGTGGAAACACTACATGACTTCGCAGTTCCCGCAGCTGCACATCGTCTGCTTCACCTCCCACCGCGGCCAGGCCTATAGCACAGGTGCGCGTGCATTGTGAAAGAAACCTGCATATTTGGTAGACCCGGGGCAGTATTTCCTAACATGAACTGATCCCAGCTACTCATTTTACAGTACGATATGATTGACAATGATATAGGATCATTCCCTGCGTCAGATCTGATGATCTTTGGCGGCGCAGTTGGGATCGCTGGACGAGGGAACATTTGGCCTCGTTGCTGATGTAACTATTGACTGCTTGTTTGCTGGCTCACAGTGCTCCAGAAAAAGCGCATGAGGCGCAAGGCTGACTGGAGTCACGCCGGGGGTCCCACGGAGATCCTGAAGGCCTGTCAAGATATCACCACTGGAAGAGGTGAGCGAGTTCGGCTTGTCGACGTTGACCCTTTCATGCGACTCTTAACACATCGGCGCGAGCTCATTTAAAAATGTCGTCTTCACGGCATGCAGTCGACCTGTCCAGCTGGGAGCAGAAGATCCAGGCGAATGCCGTTGCCGAGCAACACGACGACGAGGGCCCGGACGAGGAGGCCGCGTCGGTGCTCGTGGAACATCAGAGTGATAGCGCCCTGGAGATGAGTAACCCGACGCAGGAGCTTTACAAAGATGGCGTTCTCACCCTGGGTTGCATTGGTCAGTTTCTCCTTTCTGCGGCATGACACTACACTTGAAGGTGGAACACCACCTGTTCCTTGCTTGCTTAATTTCCAACTTCTAATTTTAAAAAATGGAAAGAAAATACTTGAAATTAGTCCATTCCCGACCGACTCTTCCTTTACAATTGCCGCTACAATGTTTTCAGGAACATTTTGTACCATTATCAACGGTTTAAAGTTTCGAGGGAAGCTACAAGTGTCAAATACAACTAAGATAAATGACAGCGTTCATGAGCAATATGGAAACAGCTGTGAGTGAATGATGCCCCCCGCATCAAAAAAAAAAAAACATTTCTAATTTCTTCCTGCTGCAGCCAGACTTTTGGAAACGCTCTACTTTTGTCTCAATGAAGCTTCTGCTATGGCTTGTCTAAATAAAGCTCCTTCACCTCACTCCAACATCGCTCCTTTCAATACGAAATCCATGACCAGCTGAATTCATCGGTACCCATATGCGGCGGGAACTGGACTGTGTTACTGATATGAAAAATTTGGCATGAGAGCTGCTACTCTTGACTAAAATGTGGCAAAATGAAAACCGAACAGGAGAGAGAACACGCCTGAACGCCCACTGTTTTCTTTTTTTTAGGCTTCCCGAATGTTGGCAAGTCATCCGTCATCAACAGCCTGGTTGGCCGGAAGGTGGTGAGTGTGTCACGGACTCCAGGCCACACCAAATACTTCCAGACCTACTACCTCACCCCCACCGTCAAACTCTGCGACTGCCCCGGCCTCGTCTTCCCCTCGTGTGTGGATAAACAGTTGCAGGTACGAGAGAACTTTTTCCGACACCACCACCACCACCCAAACCTCTCCCTTGTAACAACGTATTTTGTTTCTTTAGATTCTGGCTGGCATCTACCCGGTGTCGCAGCTGCAGGAACCGTACAGCTCAGTGGGTTATCTGTGCGAGAGGACGCCCTTCCTCTCGGTGCTGAAGCTCAAGCATCCTAATTTAGAAGAAGTCAACACCCATCAAGGAGACCAGGTTTCGACGGAGGCCCCCTGGACCGCCTGGGATGTTTGCGAGGGTACGTGCCTCTCGTTTTAAGAAGGGAACTCCTCCTTTAAAGTCACCGAGTAGTCCTTAATGGGAAGGCGTGTCTTAAGTCTAGTATATAAGTGAGGCTGAGTGATTATTTATGTTTATGTGTGTATTTGTTTGTGTTTATAGCGGCTTCAGTAGTGCACTCACGAGCTGGCTGCAAACAGAGGGGAGCGCGTTTTCAAAAGCACAGTCAGGGTTGCCAACATTGGCAAATTTTCCAACCCCTTCAGTAATTAGTTTCCCCAAAAAGCAATTTGCGACTTTAATTCCCGCTGAGAAAGAAACGATATTAACAGAATCATTTTTCCTGAAAGGAAATCACAGTCACTGAACATTTCCAAAGCCGTACGACCCATTGATTCATTGCGAAAGCAGGTATTTATTGACATGGTGGAAAACGTCTGACCGTGCCGTGTGCCGTTCGTAAGTGGGCGTTTCCTTTTCTGAAGCTCATTCTCCCTGAAAAAGTTCATCTTAACTTGAGATGGCTCGACTTTTAGAGGAATACGCCGTATTGATTGCTCTTCTTGATCTCCAGCGTGGGCCGAGAGGAGAGGCTACAAGACGGCAAAAGCGGCCCGTAATGACGTCTACCGTGCGGCGAACAGCCTCCTGAGGTTAGCCACTGACGGCCGCCTGTGCCTCTGCCTCCGACCGCGTGGCTACAGCTGCTTGAGAGGTGAGCGTGATTGTTCATCTCAGTGTTTCCTCTCCCGCACGCTTTAACTGCATTTAACTTTTCGCGCCTCAAACATCTGAACAGCCTTTTTCTCCTGTAAAATACAACAAAGAAAGTGTGTTTTTGGTGGCAAAATAATGTATTTACAATGAATCACCGGTTTAACAAACTTTACAAACTATTTGCACGCTATTTAGTAGACGTAGTAGTATTGAGTAGTGTGTGTGCGTGCATGCTTGCCATGCATGTGCGTGCGTTTGTACGCAGATTACGTCATGGCTTCTACTCCTAAATCTCAGTCATCTTTTCTTTCTTTTTTTTTGACACTCTTTGTAGTAGATTTAATTTCTGGGAATTTCTCCATTGTGAGACACAGAAAGGTTTTCTTATCTTAACGTGACAAACACTTCAATCACAGCCTGCATTTTAGGGTCCACCATGTTTTAGGAGCTTACACATTTTTATGATACACGCTGAGCTCATCCAAGAGCGATCCAATGCTGCCATTTTCCTGCCATAATTAATGTCAAATCCCCACCAGCTAAATGATCATACCAGAATCGGCAAAGACTTTTCTCCCCTCTTTCCTTTTAAAGAAAATAAATATATGCAGTTGACGGTAGGTGATGTCGACGCTGCTCTGAGTTAAAAAGATTGTTTTGAAAGTATTCCTTTGCACCTGATCACACTCGCACGGTTTAGAGTCAATGTCACGGTAATGATTAACCTTCAGACAACTGCGACTGAAACACGCGACGGGAGTTGCAAACGTGCGGAAAATACCTGGAAAGTTTCCAGTAAATTGGATTCACAATTGATATAACGGCGGCACGAAGAATGTTGTACGATCTTGTGGGGGAACACTTCTAGCACAATTCTTCATTAAATAATCTGGAAATTAAATAGTTACAATTTGCCTTCATGTTCAGAGCATTGGGAAAGCCACACCGACATCCCGGAGATCCTGGCGCTGCAAGGACGGACGTCGGAGGAGGACGCCGCGGGCAAGAGGGACGACGAAGAAGACGGCGAGTCCAGCACCGAGCCCGAGGAAGAGCGAGACCGAGACGCGGACGACGATGACGACGGCGACGAAGACGAGGGCTTCGGACAGCCCAGGCGAAAGGAGCAGACGACGACCGGCTTGGCCGCCAACATGTTTCACGTCCTGCGGGAGAACGAATGTGAGTGATGGAAAGGAGTTTTTTTTTCTGACAGTCTCCCGCTCCAACTCCTTCATTCCGGTTTCCTCCTCCCCAACCTCTCAAGATGCCTTCCATCTCATGTGTCGTGATCCTTTCGAATATACACACGATAAGGCTGCCAATGCTCATTGTTTTGGATTTCTGCGGACCTTGAAGCAGAATTAACACCCGAGGAAGCTAGTTGTTAGCATGCCTGCTGAAGAGACCGTGCGACAACACGGCATCTGCGCCTGCACTTTCCTGCACTTCAGCAAAGCCACTAGATGGCAGAAGGTACTGAACAAAATCAACCCCGGGGATTCTCACCTCCCATTATTTCTTCATACATATTGCATAATGGATGCGGAATGGTTGCCGGAGCTCAACGAATCAAATTGAAAGTTCAAGAAAAAGCCGCATCCTTACCTGACATTTGCACACTCGCGTCCGTAATACAGAACATATTTTTCTACTCCATGCTGTGCCTCAGCTCTGCTTGTTAATGCACAATTTTTTTCCTCCTGGTGTCAAGTGGCGTGTACGGGATTCGTTTTTGTGCACGTGTGCATGTTTTCAAAGGAGAGGAAGAAAAAAAAAAGCGTCAAATCTGGTTCAGGGATGGGCATCATCAACTGTCGCCAAAAGGTTGAAGGCAGAGTAGAGTGCCCTGCTTGGCTGCAGTCAGCAGAGGCACTGTCGAGCCACTTTCAGATCGTTGCTGTGTAAAGCTGTGCACACACATATCGGCAATATTGCGATCAAAGTCGGCAGCGCCCAATTGTTGGATGTGAATGATTCGGCTGTGGTGTGGGGTGTCTTAAGAGTGTTTGTTTGTTTTTTTTGTCCCCCCCTGGCCCCACTCTCAAATCTCCTCAGAAAACGACCGAGGTGGACAATCGTACATGGTAAACCTGTTCAGTATTTCTCATCTTGATCCATACACGACAAGACCAGTAAAAATGTACTTGATGATTTTGTTTTTTTCCCTGATCACGTGTGTCGTCTGCCCCTTTTTAAAAATATCACAATTATAGAAAGAACCAATTCCAAATGCAAGTGTGGCACGGACGTCATCTGGAGAAGTTCCAAAACATTGTTTACCCCCCCCCACCCCCCAAAAAACATGGCAAAACTTTTGAAATTTGATTCAATTCATCATACTCACCAGAGAAGAGAGATTTATGAAACGCATTAACTTGTGCAGAGCGCATCAGACTTGATTTGCTATTCAAACTTGGCCTGCTCTGACCAGCCAATCAGGACGGAAAAATGCTGAGATCGCCCTCCGAGGCAAATAAAAAATCTGATTCGTAAAAGAAACAGTCCTGCTGCTGCTGTCGGCGAAGTTCTATTTGCCAGCACGACAGATTTTTGAAGGCTGGAATTTGATGGGGGACAAAAGAAATAAAATAATTCACATCGATGTTCTGGAAACCGAGCAACCCAAAAGAAACACGTTGAAATAGAGAGAATAGAATCTGAATAAATGAAATCACTTCAATGGGAAAAAAAATGAACATTTAGAAGCCTTGTGAAGATAAGAGACTAAACCGCATGTGTTTACCCTTCTGAAAAAAAAATGTGACCTTATCTGTGGAAAGTTGAACTTCATCCACACTTTTGCACAACTTCATCTCAGTATGACACTGGCGTCAAAAACTGATAGATTTTCACTCTCCCACCCAATAACAATAGTTACCCCCCCCCCCCCCAAAAAAAATAAATAAAATAAATGCTCTTCCCTCACGTGGTCCCAATCAATACAATGGCGTGACCCTCGCGGGCAAGATGCCAAATGCACAAATTGCTAGCCGGGCTCAGAAGCTGTCAATCACGGGACATGAGAGCGTCATGCTGCTCCCGGGTCAGCAGAAAGCAGGAGTCGCAATCCGAGGTTCCAGTCCTCCGCTTTGGAAGAGTATCGCCTTTCTGAGAGCGCTGCATTCTTTGGTGCGGCTTTGGATTCCAACGTCGAAACCTGGAGTCTTTTAACTACTTGGCTTCACCATCGCTTTTTAAAATGGGAGTATGCCGCGCTCACTTCAACAAAGCATTTTGACTTTTTGCTTTTTGGGGAAAGATGTTCTTTCATTGCGGTGTGAGGCGGGGTCGCATCGTCGTCATCCTCACCCGACTTTTTTCCAAAGCAAACAAAACTGCAGTTATGAGTGTGGTTTTTTTTTTTTTCTCCCCAAGCGTTCCACGTGTTCCTTTAACCGCACGGGAGGCGGCAAAGGAGATGACGGCTTCCATGTGTCCCGCCTCGATAAGCAACCGCCGTGTTATGTCATTGAAACGTGACTTTGGCGTCACCCGGCGCTTATCTTGTCATGTTCGCCACAGACAGACTTTCCACTCCATCTTGCATATTATCGCGATCTTCTCGGCGTGATAAAAGCCGACTTTTTAAGTGCAGTCTGCCTCTCTCCATCATATGGTATTGACACATATATTTTTTTTCTTTTTTCATTTCTTTTTATTTCCTCATGAGACAGGAAGGTTATAAAGTGTAAATCCTGGATGTGTGTCATGATACTTGCCCCATTCCTTATTTTGTTCCAGAATCTCTTAAGTGGACTGCTTTCCGCAATAAAAAAGATCCTTCAAGCCATCTTAGGGGTTGTTGTATCTGTAAACAAACTTAAACCTGCCTGAAGGGCAGAGGTGGGCGACTCGAGTCGCAGGACGCGACTCTCGTGGCTACTTTTCGACACTGAGACTTAGACTGCAATTGACTTTGACTTGGCACTCATGAATTGATTTGCATGTTTACATTTAACAACCTGCTTTTTCAAGATAGTGTAATGCCACGAGCTCATGGCCACTTCCTGAGGCAAGTATGGATTCAAGGATCGAATTGGGAAAAAGAATGGCAAATATGTGAATATTAGAGACGCAACAAGTCTGACGTCTAAATTCATTGTCACTACAAAAAGATAAATACATTTACACCTCCCGGTAAATAGGTGTTTGAAAACATGAAGTGCTAAAATATTGTACTTAAAAGTAGAATACAACTCAACTAACCCAAACAACGGTGCTGTATTGTATTTAAAAAAACAAAAAAACAAAAAAAATGTTTAAGCCATTCTAACATGATGCACAATTTTAAAAAAATGTAATTAGTGATTCTTTTGCATACCACTAGAGGGAGCCAGTCTAGCATTAATTAGCATTACAAGTACCCCAGTTTTGAGAATCACTTAAGTAGACGGTGTGGCATGATGTGGCACCCCGCGGTAATGTGCTGAGGGCACACAACTCAAAGACTTGGCTTGAGTACTGTGAAAGCCCGTCTCAAAATCTTCGATGTAGTGGGGGTGCGAACAATGAAACGCAAATGCCAGCGATTCGCCACAGTGGCAACTTTTCGGTTGAATATGATATTCCATTCCGTGATGAGAGACGCTCGGTCACAGCGAGCAACTCGGAAAGTTAGCTATCTCGCTAAGCAACTCGGAATTGTACCGGATAAGCACTGATGCTAACAGGTGCTCAATTTTCTATATTGTGGGGAAGTGGAAACCTAAGCCTGACACCGAAGTGCATCACCGGGTGCTCTTTTAATGACACCACCAAATATAAGTGAAAATTTGTTGAATGCCAGACTATGTAGATCTCAGTCTGAGCACGTTTTTGATTTTTCTCAACATTTTTGTCTTTATTCAAAACAAACGCTATTTCGCTTCACACGGTCTTTAAGAGTTTTTAATAGTCTTTGTAGATGCACATAATCAAAAGGGGGAGAACACGTCACCGTGAACTTTTCCTCTTTGCGTGCCTCGACACCGAAACCTCCCGAACAGGCTTATAATCAGTGAGGAAATCTGGGAGAACGTCTCCCTAATTACTGTTGATAATCTCCACGCATAACTCATATCAAACATGTGCGAGCGGGACGTTGTGTTGGAGCAGCTGCGCTCCAACACGCATCCTAAAATGACTTAATGGATCCTTTTCTACACGGATGACGTCCAAAAAAGCAAATTGCACGCAATGAAGACAAATAGACTGTCACTTCGCCGGTTGTAATACACATTAAAACGATTTAGTCAGCAGGTGGGGGGTGGAAAAAAGCGATCGTGCGCACCCAAATTTATTTCACTGTGTGTTATGTTGTGGGTGGGGAGTGGTGGGTTGACTATGAATGATTAATTATCACACAATTGATGAAAAACAAAAGCAAAAAAAAAAAACGTTTTGGGCTAATTGGCCGCCAAGTTAATAAATGCCCTGTTTGCTCTTTCTCATTACATTCAATCAAATATCTGTATATAAATACATCTCAAAGATCGTTCGTCGCTTGAGTTACACTGCTGTTGGCGGAACACGAAAACAATTTTATTTTTTTCAGTGAATAACCTTGTGGTTCCTCACAAAAAAAAAACAACAATTTGCAGTGTCAATCAGTGAATACCGAACTGCAATTTTGCAAGGGTTCAACGAATATTAACGCATATCGTATTGTGATATATTATCAATGACCTGTGACCTCGAATTGATTTTGTGAGGTGTGGTACATTTTCCTAATGTGACAATCACTGCGTAATCTATCCATGGTCATATTTGCCAAATTGCAAATTACTTTAATTTCCTGCCCCTAATGTATTGAACTAGTAAATGGCTCCTTTGCGCCCTTTTCAAACACCTTCAAAGGCTTTGAGGGTTGACAAAAGTCTCTTTTTGAGGATCTGCCGGATCATTTCAACGAGCAAATCCTCACACTCTCGACGCCGAATCGCTCATCTTGTCAATGTGGCCTCACTTATTATGTCATTATGTTAATTGCTCCCCACGCTTACAGCATTCGTGCGGGAGACAGTGCGACGATAATCACCGACGAGTGCCGCCCATAAACGGTATTTACAGTCGGGATGAGGCTGGAAACTCCCTCATCTTTTTTTTTTTTTTGACGCCGAATCGCTCATCTTGTCAATGTGGCCTCACTTATTATGTCATTATGTTAATTGCTCCCCACGCTTACAGCATTCGTGCGGGAGACAGTGCGACGATAATCACCGACGAGTGCCGCCCATAAACGGTATTTACAGTCGGGATGAGGCTGGAAACTCCCTCATCTTTTTTTTTTTTTTTTCTTCTCTCTGCATCATCGTGACGGCTCGCCAGCCCGTATGGTTTTCATCCGTGGCTGACGAGATCATCTTCCGACATCTGGAATTGTTTGGGATTGAACTGCGCTCCAGACGTAGATAGCAAGCACTTTAAAGACATCCAG